GAGACAAGGTCTTGCTCTGGCTCTGGCTGGTCTAGAACCTGTGAGCTCAGGCAATCCACTTGCCTCAGCCTCCCAGAGTGTTAGGATTACAGGCATGAGCCACCATGCCCAGCAGCAAATGGATTTTTAGCTTGGGTGTCAACTCAGGTGACCCTGTTGGCACCCACAACTTCCACAGATAATGGAGGTTCTCCCGAATATCATCTCCTTCCCACCCTCTGACACTCACCTTTTCTAGACCTAACGCCCCCCCCCCCTTTTTTTTAAGACAGAGTCTCACTTTGTTATCTTTAGTAGAGTGCCATGGCATCATAGCTCACAGCACCCTCCAACTCCTAGGCTCAGGCAATTCTCATGCCTCAGCCTCTTAAGTAGCTGGGACTACAGGTGACCGCCCTAACGCCTGGCTATTTTTAGAGACGAGGTCTCACTCTGGCTTAGGCTGATCTTGAACCTATGAGCTCAGGCAGTCTACCAGGCTCTGTCTCCCACAGTGCTAGGATTATAGGTATGAGCCACTATGCCCGACCCTAAGGTCTCTTTTGATTTCCTCTGTCTTCATTCTACCCCAACTAAAGGATGGGAGGTCTTTCTTTTTTTTTTTGAGACTGAGCCTCAAGCTTTCCCCCGGGTAGAGCGCCATGGCATCACAGCTCACAGCAACCTCCAACTCCTGGGCTCACGTGAGTCTCCTGCCTCTGCCTCCCAAGTAGCTGGGACCAAGGTGCCCACCACAACGCCCGGCTATTTTTTGGTTGCAGCCATCATTGTTGTTTTGGTGGGCCCAGGCTGGATTCAAACCTGCTACCTTAGGTGTATATGGCTGGTACCTTAGCCACTTGAGCCACAGGCGCTGAGCCGGAAGTCTTTCTTACATTCTGATTTTCTTCTTCTCTATCCTTAATTCCCCCCTCCCCACGGGGAATTTCTCCCCCTCTTTAGCATTCTTTTTTTTTTTTTTTTTTGAGACAGAGCCTCAAGCTATCCCCCTGGGGTAGAGTGCCATGGCATCACAGCTCACAGCAACCTCCAACTCCTAGGCTCAAGCGAGTCTCTTGCCTCAGTCTCCAAAGTAGCTGGGACTACAGGTGCCCGCCACAACGCCTGGCCATTTTTTGGTTGCATCCATCATTGTTGTTTGGCAGGCCTGGGCTGGGGATTCGAACCCTCCACATTAGATGTATGTGGCTGGTGCCTTAGCCGCTTGAGCCACAGGCGCCAAGCCCCTCTTTAGCATTCTAAAGAACATGCATATAGCAATTTTCAGTCACCAGGGTCTTTCATACATATTAATCAACACCTGCTCAGTAACCCTGAGAAGTATTATTATGTCTTTATTTTTAAATTGCAGCTAAGCCCCAATAGGCTAATAAAATGCTCTTTGATAAGATCAATGCCAGCCCTTCTGACCTATATCCCATATTCTTCCCATTGCACCACACTCTCTCCTGGCTTCCTTAACAAATGAGCTTTTGGCTCAGTGCCTGTGGCTCAAGCAGCTAAGGCGCCAGCCACATACACCTAAGCTGACAGGTTTGAATCCAGCCTGGGCCCGCCAAACAACAATGATGACTGCAACCAGAAAATAGCCGGGCGTTGTAGAAGTCGCCTGTAATCCCAGCTACTTAGGAGGTGGAGGCAGGAGACTCGCCTGAGCCCAGGAGTTGGAGGTTGCTGTGAGCTGTGATGTCACAGCACTCTACCCAGGGTGACAGCTTGAGGCTCTGCCTCAAAAAAAAAAAAAAAGAGGCTCGGCGCCTGGGGCTCGGCCGGCTGGGGCGCCAGCCACGTACACCTGGGGTGGCGGGTTCGAGTCCCCAGCCCGGACCCGCCAAACAACAATGACGGCTGCAACCAAAAAATGGCCGGGCGTTGTGGCGGGCGCCTGTGGTCCCAGCTACTTGGGAGGCGGAGGCAGGAGACTCGCTTGAGCCCAGGAGATGGAGGTTGCTGTGAGCTGTAATGCCACGGCACTCTGCCTAGGGGGATAGCTTGAGGCTCTGTCTCAAAAAAAAAAAAAAAAAAGAAAAAGGAAAAGAAATAAAGAAATGAGCTCTTTGTGGATCTCATGGAGGCTCACTTCCTACTCCTCCCCTCACCCTGCCAGCTCCTTGGTGGCCGGGCCCGAGGGGCAGCCATGCTGGGCGTGTTCCTGGTCTCTGCAGTGGTCCATGAGTACATCTTCTGCTTTGTCCTGGGGTTCTTCTACCCTGTCATGCTCATGCTCTTCCTTGTCATTGGAGGTGAGCTTGTCTCTGCGTCACTAGGGGGCAGCCATCCAGAGGGAGGAGGCCTGGGTCCCACTCCTGGAGATCCCTGGCTAATGGGGGGAGGCTACACACCTTGGGCCCAAGAGGAGGCTGCTAGGCCTGAGAGGTAGGGGAGGGAGGGAGGCAGCAAGTGGGTATCCTGGGGGTGTAGGAGGAGGTTTCTAGTTGAAGAGATCTGAGAGAGCACCCATGGAAGAAGCCAAAGGGGTGAAAATACGAGGTTGGGAGGTTCAGTATGAAATTCAGGATAATGAAGCTCAAACTGAGGAATCTGGTTTTACAAGAGGCACTTGAGACCTCCATGGGTTTTGGCAACTGGGTTCAAGATCTTCCCCAATGGAGCCTTCCTGTTCCATCTCTTCCCAGTGCCCTGGGATGGGAGAGAAGCCAGGGAAAGAAGGCCCAAGTATCTGTAGCTGGGATAACAGCCTTTCATCCTGTGCCAGGGCTGCTGAACTTCACCATGCATGACCGGCACACAGGCCCAGCCTGGAACGTGCTGATGTGGACCCTGCTTTTTCTGGGCCAAGGCATCCAGGTCAGCCTTTACTGCCAGGAGTGGTATGCACGACGGCACTGCCCCTTGCCCCAGGTAAGGGATCACAATCTTCGCTTGCCCAACTCCTCATCTGAAAAGACACACCCCCTTTCCCAACAGCCGATCCCCTCTATTTTCCCAACTCAACAGCCATGGTCAGGGATCAGGGCCTGGCTTAGGAATGATGGGATCCTATGTCCTGGATGCACAGGGTGGGTCACCAAGAGTGACTTCATTCATAATTTGCCCTTCTTTGGCTCAGACAACCTTCTGGGAACTAGTGACACCTCGGTCTTGGTCCTGCCACCCATAGAGGTCAAGGCACCCTCACTGCACAGATGACACCATCAAGCTCTTCTTTGCCTGCAAAGCCTGGGACCAGGGCTCCTGTCTGAATTCTCAAATAGGGCTCTTAGTCAAGGGGCCCTCATGCCAGACTCTACCCGGGAACTGCAGGGACAGAACTCTGTGGATCTGTAGGTAGCTGAACACAGACTCAGCATGAAAGAACTCAGCATGGCACTCAAGTCCCATCAGCTATGGGCACATGACACCCTCCCACCCCACAACTGCCCAGGCTTGGGGGGAGACTTGAGGAACCTTATGGATTTGGTGAATGTGGGGGGACTCAAGGGAAGTGGAGTCACTAAGATTTGAGAAGTATTGTGTTCTTGACTTTGTACTCCTTACAATACAAAAATAAACTCTGTCTCCCTTTTTCTTATTTGTTTATTCATTCATTCATTCATTCATTCATTTGCTGAAGCCCCACTTTGTAACAGGTACTGCCAGGGGAGGGGTGAGAATCTTGGGTAACATCCTGCCTTACCTTCTCTTCACAAGGCCCTCTCCTCTACCTGACCCTCACCCCTCTTCCACCCCTGTTTCTTCTCCAGCTCACATACCCACACCTTTTTAACCCTCCTGCTGCTGGCAACCTCTAGGACATTTTGAGAGTACACATAGCAGGCCTCCTTTCCTTTAGCAGACCCAGAAGAGGAATCTGAGATAGATCTTTTACTTTTGTGAACTGCAATATCCACAGCTATAAAGGGACATTGGCCAGACACTATGGTTCATACCTGTAATTCCAGCACTTTGGAAGGCTGAGGTGGGAGAATCACTTGTGCCCAAGAGTTTGAGGTTCCAGTCTAGTGTGGTGGCTCACTCCTGTAATCCTAGCACTCTGGGAGGCTGAAGCCAGTGGATCTTTAGACCAGCCTGAGCAAAGTGAGACCCCATCTCTACTAAAAATAGAAAAACTAGCCAGGCACTGTGGCAAATGCCTGTAGTCCCAGCTACTCAGGAGGCAGAGGCAGGAGGATCACTTGAGTCCAAGAGTTTGAGGTTACTGTGAGGTAGGATGCCACAATACTGAACCCAGGGCGACAGAATGAGACTCTGTCTCAAAAGAAAAAAGAAGGGTAGCGCCTGTGGCTCAGTGAGTAGGGCACCGGCCCCATATACCAAGGGTGGCCCCGGGCAAACTGCATCAAAAAATAGCCGGGCATTGTGGCAGGCGCCTGTAGTCCCAGCTACTCAGGGGGCTGAAGCAAGAGAATTGCCTAAGCCCAGGAGCTGGAGGTTGCTGAGAGCTGTGACGCCATAGTACTCTACTGAGGGTGACAGAATGGAGACTCTGTCTC